AGCATCCACGGCTTTTCTCCATTTAGCTCTCTATGGTCATCCAGTACGGGTCCATTGCATTTCTTTAAGGAGCATGGGGAGAGTCACAGCCACAGCGCAGCAGTGCAATACATTGTCATATGTCTCAAGATGAGAGATACGCTCAGTGAGTATCAAGAGCTGGCCAATAGCATGACTTACTCTGGCAACACCTATTTTACAGGCAGCCTTGACAAATAAAACATTTTAGCGATTGTTTAATTGAAAAGATGTAAACACAGCCTCTCTGAGATATGGAACAAAAAACACGCTATTTTGAGCAAGCATTTATAAATAGTTATGTTTCATGTCATAAACTGAACAAAAATAAGCCACAAACAAAAGCTTGGGCTCCTTAAGGGCAGTCTCAGATTATTTTTATAAGGTCTCAGACCTTCATCATTTCTTTAGGCCTGAGGAATGTAGTGCCAATTTCAGAGCCTTTAAAATACTCTCTTACTCTTATTCTCTTAAACACTCAGTGAACACTCAGCAACCATGGGTTCCTCTAAGCAGCTGTGTAAGACTGAAAATTAAAGTTGGATGGATAGCAAAGTGTTGTCAGTTTGCAGAAATAAGATTCAATTTCACCAAAATCACTTGTTTTGTGATTTGTACAATTTTGGCATACAGTGTTTAGTACAATGACTTATGGGAATGTAATCTTAAAGGGTCAAAGAGGTTTTTTCATGTCACCTGGACTAATGTAATTTTGTAAATAAAGCAAATCCTGCTTCCTATGGGAGTGTTCTACAGATGTACAGAGCGCAGCGTGCCTGCCACAGGGCTGTGATTGCAGCTGCTCATGCAGAGGATGAGGCAGTACTTTCTTCTGCTCTGATAAGTGTCTACAAATCTTCCTCTCAGGCATTGTACATCCCACATATCAGAAGGTAGGTAGGGCAACCTGTACGTAGCCTGAGAGGCAATGATGAGGGCAAAAAGGGACAACAAAACTTCTGTTCCTAAACGCTGCATTATGGCATTATGGCATTATGACAGTGACAACAAGACTGGAAAGGTGGTTGTCCACAGTGATAATTAAGCTCTCTGTGTTTTGTTCCATTGACTGTTTTTGTTTTTTTAGTCATACATCGTTCCCTGCAAGTGAAATAAACAAATCGCCTGCTCAATGTGTCACTGGACGCAATTGATAGAGTGACAGTACCTGGGCTTCAGGGAGGGAAACGTCCATGATGACTGGCTGGCCGTGAGGCTCCCCGTTTTCTAGCCTGGAGTAGACCAGCTGGTAGCCTCTGATCTGGCCATGCTGCTTTACAGACAGGGGTGGCTTCCAGGTCACCCTAAGGGCAGTGGAGTTGAGGGCATCTGCCTCTACCTTCCTGGGAGGAGCTCCGGGCACTGTAGCACAACACACACACAACAGACACACACAACTTCAACACAAGGTCTTAGGGAAAGTTGAATGAAATTTCTTTTCTTCTTTTTTTAGCTACCTTTTGGTTACAGCTACCATTCTCTCACACTGCCACAGTAAACTGTTCATTGCTTTTTGTCATATTTGCTTAAACACTGAAATATTTGCAGACAGATAATCTGTGAAATAATCAGGTTCCTTTGGCTCCTCCTAGTGCTCCTAATGGCACTTGCAAGAATCCACTGAGCCTGAACGAAAACAACCATCAGAACCAAGAAAGACAGAAAGATACTTTGGGTTGGTGTCTTGATGATAGTTCATTTGTGAGACTCTCAGTGTCAGTATTTGACGACCTGGGAATGGGACTCAACAATCAACTATCCTTCTTGGCTCTGATTGGTTGTTTTTGGCCAGAGGAATCTGTCTCATGTACTACTGTCAGGATATAGTGAAAGTTCTGTATCTGTCAATATTCAGATACATTTGACAGTTGAATAACTCAACAATATAGAAAGAAATAGCTTACATAAAAACTTTCCTTCAGTAGATTCATATAATATTTTGTATAGTGACCTAGAGTATTTTCTATAGCATCCATTAGAGATAGATTCTTTCTTCATCTCCAGCATGAACAAAACAGAGGTTGCAGTGTGGTGCAGCAGAGAAATGTCACAATGTCAGATTTTCTCAAACTGCTCACTGATGCACACTGTCAGTGTGGATATCATTCAATGAAACTATGTGCTGCTATTTATTTATTTCTTCCTATTTTTTTCTGCCTTAGTTGACTTGCTGGCAGTGTCTTGTGTTAGGAAATGATTCTATTCCTTTTCTAAGGACTACAGTAAACACAGGATCAGAATATGATCTGGTCCAGCCAATACCAATCAAGTGAAAATAATCTGATTAACCATGATCCTGGATATGGGAATTGCCAGTAGATTGGGATGGTTGGTAATTGTATTCCTGGTTTAGAAAGTTCCAAGGTAATATGAAGGTTGATAGCTATATTTGCAGGTTATAGACATCAAAGCTTGTCACATGGAGCCCCAAGAGAATGCTGGGAGCAGGTTTTATTCTACTTTACAGAATATCGAGCTTATGTCTAGAATGCTTGGTCAGCTTTAAATGGAGAGGTAAATGAATACAAATCTGACTTGATTTGAATAAGGCTGCGCAAATATTAATGGAATTCATGGTAGATGAGGAGAGGAAAGGAAGCGTTAAAGGTTAAAATGCCATGCATTAAGATATTAAAGGATGGAGAGAAAAGTGTTAAAGCAGCTTGAGTATCACACAGCACAGCAGGAAGAAGAAAAGAAAAGAAAAGCTCTGGAACTTGGTGTCAGCACTATGCACTTTAGACTAATTAGAATCGTTTAACCTCATATACTATCAGCAAGATTCCAGAATCAGGCTTCAAGCTTTGGAGAAAAAATGTCAATAAACTTCTGTGTTAACAGCAAAACACAAAGGCACAATGTGTGCAGTGTGGAAGAAGAACAAAAGAACCATGTAACTAACAGACAACAAAATCCCAAAACACATCTTTGAAGCCAGTCTACAGCCTTGGATTGAAATTAGCACTAGTTGCCAGGAAATACATACATTTATCTTGGGCAACCACAATGGATTATTCTGCAAAACCCTCAATAACGTTCAATACCAATTTTATTTGAACAATTCTTAATTTCTACAATATCTGCATGAAAAATATTGGATAGGTAAAATTAGGGGATTGACATTATGACAATGGTAAACAAACTATGGTAAGGTACAGTAGTGGTTAAGGTTAGAGAAACAATGCAGTTACATACAATAAAAACGTAAACAAGCCAAATCACAATCCAGATTTGACATTGAACGTTGGCATTGAACATGAATACACTGAGGTAATCATGAGGACTGAGTTTGGACAGAACAGTTTAAAGGTCCAATGTGTAACATTTAGGAGGATCTATTGTCAGAAAGGGAATATAATATTCATAGATATGTTTTCATTAGTGTACGATTACCTGAAAATAAGAAGTATTGTGTTTTCGTTACCTTACAATGAGCTGTTTTTATCTACAGAAGGAGCGGGTTCTCTTCTACGGATTCCACCATGTTGAACCCTTGAATGTTTTTACAGTAGCCCAGAACGGACAAACCAAACACTGACTCTAGATAATGAATGAATTGGCGCTATACAAATAAAACTGAATTTAACTGAATTAAATGGGCGCTGATGATGCTGAGCAAAACTACGTAGTTTTAGTTGTAGTACTACCATGCAAGTCACTCATCCATGGTATCTGAAGGATAGTTAGCTATAGCTAGCTTGCATTCAGTGGCAGATTTGAATCATAAATCAAATATGTATAATGATCATTGACAGTATATTTAATGAATAGAGCTTCAGGGTCTGTCAAGTGAAGCCAACGTGGAAGTGTCTTAAACTTGTGCTCTATGTAATGGCCAGCAGGGGGAGCTCCATGGGCTGCAATAAAAAAGATAACAAGCAGTCTCATGGAGAAATGAGCTAACGTCTCACTTCATTTATTAGCTCAGTAAACAGTTTGCTAATGAGTTTATGGTCTCAATGGCCACTTCTTGGTGCTGTGGAGTGGTGTGTGCTGTGAAACACAAACATAGTAACTGTTTTTGCTTTCTTCTGTCCTNNTCTAAAGGCTGCCAATTAATAATAATAATAATAATAATAATAATAATAATAATAATAATACATGTTTTCAGTGTGTAATTCTAATTCTAATTATTAATAAGTTCAAATTAGTTACAAAATGATAACTGGTATGTACCTGAAGTGTTCTTTCTAATGGCCAGCAGAGGGCAGCCCCATTGGCTGCCAAAAAATAATTTAGATATCTTATCATGTCTTTTGAAATGAGCCTACTTCTGACTTGATTTATGAGCTCAGTAGACAGTTTGCTAATGAGTTTATGGTCTCAATCTCTAGTTTCAATGGATTACAGGACGATAGGTTAAAACTTGATAACAAGACCATCTACATCTCAGCTATGTATGTGGACTAGTGCTGATTTTATTTCTATGTGAGCTGTCTTTTGTATCTACTTGCTTGCCTGATTTCCATTTTGTAAAGGTATTCTTGTCTGCAGGGGCTTTCGTGTTGCATTTTGTAAGATTTCACTGAAACATGAACACAAATGCATTTTTTATTAATTCCCACTGTAATGTGGAAATGGGTGATGCTTAATGCAGACTTTGTGAGGCCATGCTGGTTTTAAACTTGTAGGGCCGTCCTGACTGACAGCATGAAGCCGGCTCATGTGTGTGGGTGCTAGGGATTCTCTGCAGCAACTGTCAAATGCTGAGGCAGCCACTAATTGTCTCCTCTGTATCTCTCACGCTGTGTCCAGTGTGTGTCTGCCAGCATCATTCTCTTCCTTCTGCATACCTCGGATTAAAGAAATTCACCACCTGAGCGACTTCAACATGCTGCTGTGATTCATTTGCATTTACTCACATCTTTGAACGCCTCCCACTCAAATGCTTGCAGGAAATATTAAGTATATACAGTATCTGGCAGTCAAA